CAAGCTCCTGGAGCCAGGTGTCCGGCAAAGAAGGGCTGGTCTCCTCCCAGACCCAGAGAGGGTCGTGACGAACGCACTACTCGAGTGGCAGGAAATCTGGGGCTGAATCGTTTGGGCAATCCCACGTGTAAGCTGCTGAAGCCATCCAGTGACAGGACCATAAACCTGAGACCCCAGTGCCCAGTCCTGTGCCCTCACAGGCCAACACACTGTTTGCCCCCCGACGGTCCTCAGGCCCAAACTTCAGCATCCTCTGCTCAACACCAGGAAACATTGCTGTGCCATGACAGTGAGGTTGGGGACAGTTCTGGGGGCCTCCCTCTGAGCTCCCCTTCCCACCCTGATGTCCTTAGCATGTGAACGGATAGAACAGCATTTCGATGCCCAGAAGGTCTGGACCTGGAGGCTCAGAACCTACAAGACAGCTTTCCATTTCAGTGTGACTGTCAGCGAGGTGCCTACCATTTCCAACCCTACTGAGGAGGATCAGCTGAACACTGACATAGAAATGGGTCATGGTGGGCAGAGGCATGGACGGGAGGTGGGGACATGGCAGGAAGAGCCAAACGAGGAAGACACAGGAGTTGGAGGAAAAAAATCACAGAGGTAAAGGGAGCAAAAGCCAGGAGCAAAGAAGAGGGACTTTGGAGTCAGACAAATGTTCGAGTTCAAACCCTGGGTCTCTCCCAAACCAGTTTGGGCAGAAGGCCCTGTGAAACCTCAGTTTACTTACAAATAAAATGGGGGCACAGCGGGAGTCTGGAGGGCTGGTGCGTGGGCTGTGTGGAGCACGACATGCCCAGTGCTCAACCCCGGGACTGAGCAGGTGCTCAGCAAACAGCAGCTGTCAAGTACTTAAAGGAGCACTGGAGAGAAGAGTCCAGGCTCGTGCTTTTGTGGACAACTTGCTGTGCGTCTCATGACATCTCTGGCCTCAGTAAAGAGGTATCGGCCAGGCAGCTTCTCTTGCCAGGCCTCCCAGTGGAAAGGTTTATGGTTCTGAGATAGGCAGAGGGGGAAAGTCGGAGAAACAGAAGCCTCCAGAGAGAGGCAGGTAGAGTCTGGGAAGGTGCACCCACTGGGTGCCCTGGGGGAGGGTTCGGCTGGGCGTGAAATGTTCAACTACCCCACAAACTTGACTTTAAAAACCACAAGCCGATGACACATACCACATAGACAAAGGGTTGTGTGAATTTTTTTTGGTCTTTTTTTTTTTTTAAGATCAATATTCATTCTTCATTTTGCCTCATAACGAAAATAGATTTTTAAATGCCTCAAATATACAAACATCATCAATGCACACACATTCCAGAAATGCTGAGGTCTGCGCTGCTGTGGGGTGGAGGAGGGGGAGAGGGCCTGGCCTCATGGCCACGGACTAGGTCCCAGACTGGGGCCTGGCAGGTAGCCGGCCACTTGTCAAATGCCACTGGGATCCTGGGGAAGAGCTGGGGCCTTGGGATGAGGTGCTGAGAGGGACTGTGGTGCACAGCTTCCTGGGTCCTCTCTGGGTCCATCCCACCAGGCCCTGGAAAAGGCCTCTGTTACAATGGAGAAGCTGGGCGCACGTCACCCGGGCACCGACATCCTAGGATATCCCACTGGTCCCCAAATGCCCCTCTGACCACCAGTCACTAGGAGAAAGGTCTCCAGCCATGGCTTCCCAGAGATGCTCGCTCCAGAGTGGATGGTCACAGGCAGGGCACAGGTTTGCTCCAGAGACCCTGGCCCTTTCTCTTCTTAAATGGCGTCCTAAGGAGGATCCAAGAGTAAGAAAACATCCTAATTTTAAAAAAATTTGTAAATCTTCATATAAAATACATAGTATTAGCCAGAGGTGAACAAGTACAGGACTAGGGGAATAGAATCCAAGAGCTTCCATCTGGACAGAAGGTGGCCGTAGTCGCAGCATCTCCTCGAGGGGGCTGGTCCCCAGGGGAGCTGATTTGTCTTAGTGACCAGCCAACGCCCCTTCCATTTGGAAATCACTGAGTTTGAGGAGGCGGGGCCTGTGCTAGAGGGAGACCCTCCTGGTGAGAGGGCTCTGGGGCCTTCAGGTGTCCTGCACTGGGGACAGCAGCGGGTGCCTGCCCACCTGCC